TATATACATTATATACATATATGTGGGTGTGTGTGTGTGTGTTTGTGTAAATAACCATGTGGATATAAATATGGATTATATAGATAATTCTATTCATATGTACAGGTTGATATTATCTGAAGTTGTATGTGTATCGTCAAGTATTACGTAGGTGTGTGTGGAAGTAGGTTGTATATATTTCTAATTAGTTGTGTCATTATTAATGTTCCATTGTTGTAACTTATATGTCTTCGTTTTTTCTCATATTATTGTTGTAACTCACATTTCACTATATATTCATATTTTATTCTTAAAATATATATGGTTCGTTAAACCCCTTTCGTAATATTAAATCCCTTTCATATATCATTGCAAGTCTTTTTCGATGGCATTCCAATGTTTATGTTAAACTTCTAAAACTCCAAAACCTTGATACAGACAGCATGCTACCGCGGGTGATGGATCTGGCTGAGAACAGCAGCGATCGTTCGACAAAGGTATCTACTACCTTACTACACATATGAGAGGTATTGTGTGTGTAGAATATATACTACCTTACACATATGAGATGTATTGTGTATGTATAATATACAGGCCTTATTACTATCATAGACATAGTATGTTTTTGAAAAATTTAATATCCGACAATCAATGAATGTAACATACACACTGCCTCTTCTAATGTTAAGTATATTTTCAAACCAGTTCTTCATTTTGCATATAGAGTAGTAAGTGAGCTGTGAAGTTTTCCTACATTTTTTTTACATCCGACAATCAATCTCACACCAACACCACCTCTTCACCCCAGAGGTAGTGGTGCGGGGGCTGTGAAATTGTCGTACAAGTGTATTATAACAATGTCGTACAAGTATTTGATATCCGACATCTAAGGTCACATTCACGCAATCTCATCAATTCACAGGTAGTGACGGACGAGCTGTGAAATTGTCGTTCAAGTGTATTATAGATTTGTCGTACAAGTACATTATAAATTTGTCATACAAGTGTCATGTCCGACAATCAATGTCACACCCACACCATCTCCTCTTTCCACAGGTTGTGGCGTGTGAGCTGTTCCATGCCATCTGTCTGTTTCTCATTGGCATCAGTGCGAACAAAACGACCGATCCGGCCTTGTACACTCCTTTATACCAAAGGTATGGCATCGATTTTTAGGGTTTCAGGAAGTTCGGGTTTTGCGGTTTTGCGGTTTAGGGGTTTTTTTTTGCTTATACGTTATTTGTCAGATTTTTGTCAGATTTGTCAATAATATCTATACAGATATATACCTACTTCCAAATATGTATCATTTATATTTACATACATATACCTACTTCCAAATATATTTTATTCTATGTTCTGTGCACAGGGTATTCCCCGCCATATTCCGATTGGCTGTTGATATGGAAAGCGTCGCGCGACAGCTGTTCGAACTTCTGGCCTTTCAGGTACCTATTACTGTTATGTATTGTTTTACGCATTATAAATACGTGTCGTAAAAAGAGTGTATTGTGAAACTAACGTATTGTGGACCTATTATGCTTAGGGTTTTAGGGTTTTAGTACAGTTCAAAACGTATTGTGATATAAATGCATTGGGATCCGGTAGCACCACTGGAGAACTGAACAACGTATTGGATTTGGTTAAGTCTCGCAAAGCAAGAATGACCGTATTGTTAAGTGGTGAGACGGTGAGACACCAGGACAACGGATGTAGCGAACCCGTACAAACAGATTTAAGGTCTTAATGTTTAGGGTTTTAGAAACCTACATGTGTGATCAGAGGTATATAGACGAAGAAACATACATGTGCATTTCAGTGTACATTTTGGAAATGAGTTGTACCGAACTATTCATGTAGAGCATGTTACATGGCATTATATGGTTGCTCTTAATCGCGAATCGCCAGTGCTTCATTTAAATCACGTACACCTATACACACACAAAACAAGTGTACAGATACATCAGTACAAACATACACATACATGTAGACTTAATTACCATACATATATACATACATACATACATACATACATACATACATACATACATACATACATATACACACACACACACACACA